CGATTTTATCAAAATTTTGTCGGCATTAAAATAGTAGAACACATCATTATGGACGTTAATTTACTAATCTTCAACATATGCGCTGTTTTAATAGGAGTTTTTTGGAAAGCACAGGAATGGCAAAAATTTTTAGACAATCTGAAAAATGTTACCGATGTACAAATTTCCAGCAACGTTTTGACTTTCTATGTTTTCAATATACTCGGACTGCTAACATTCATTTTTACGTATTGCATCAGATACGAACAAAATGGTGGTTTAGACTATGTTCGTAGATACAATGTTGTATATCTTCAAGACTACATGGTGTTCTTTTACAACACTTTTCTTTATCTTATTGGTAGCATTTTGTTTTTGAAATACAAACAAATAAGTACAGTAATGGAAAACCTAGTTACAACAGGAGAAAGCTCAGCTCTCAGTCGTCAGTATTCATTAAAGAAGCTTGAAATGTCGTTGTGTTTTCTCAAAGACTGTGTCGACATTTTCAACGAACTTTTTGGATGGCCGATCTTTTTCATCATTTCTTTTACAAGTTTGCACATTCTTAACCATTTCGACAACATTTTTGCAGCGAGTGCTTCGAGTCATCACAGCTACAATTTTTCAAAAAAAGTCACAGCAGACGTTGCAATACTGATCTTAGCTTGTGTACGATTTGGATTTTATGATTTCATTATAGTTCATATGTATCGTTTTCAGGGTGGAACTATAGCCATGATTTTCAAATGCGACTTTGTAGTAAAGGAAGCTGAGAAAATCTTGCTTTTGTCATACAAGCTGAAGAGGAATTATTGTACTGAAAACACGCCAAAAATTGATTTTCAGAAATTCTGTACAAGTGTTGAAGAAAATTTACCTAGGTTTTCCGCTGCCAGGTTTTTCCACATAAATCGTTGTACTGTATTACATATCTTCGGAACTGTGACTAGCTTTTTCATTGTTATGATACAATTACGTCACAGTAGTTACTAAATTTATAATTGTTTGGATTTTTAAAATAAGAAAAATATTTTGCAACTGTTATTTGTACAATACACTTTTCTTCAACTCTTTCTTATCATTAATAATTATTTATGTTTCACATTTTTTCCAATAATATAACTGTTTAAAACTGAAAATACGTCACTTCATGTTCTAGTTGCTTGACATGAAAGTATCATTACTAATTCATAGTCAGAACTCGCTGAAAACAACAATAACAAAACTTTGATTGAAAAAGCTATCGAAGCTTGTTTATTCTCAATCGCATGTTTCCGTCACGAATAACCATGGCCTTAATTTGGAAAGTTAGTCGAAGATGAAATCGTTGAAAATTATATTCAGTTATGGAAAAATTTTAGGAATTACTCCATCGTTCGAAAATCCACATCCATCATGTTGGTACAAAGCGTACATCATATTTCTTTTTATTGCATTTACCACTGGAACTATAATTTCTTCAATTAACCGAAGACTGGTCTACAAAGATTTTATAAACATCAAAATTGCTGAACACGTACTACTTGATGCAACTTTGTTGATTTTTAGTTTTTATGTGGTTGGAGCTGCCAGCTTCTGGAAGAAAAAACAGTGGAGGAAATTAATCGAAAATTTAAAAATTATTTCGGAGTGTGATAATAATAAGAATAATCATCACATACTTTGCGTATTTTTCGTTTTGCAAATTTTTGCTTTAACAGTTTTAACCGTGGTTTTTTGTATACGACTAAATTTTTACGGTTTCGTGTATGCAAAGAGATACAATGTTACTTATTTACAGGATTACAGCATTTTTTGTTACAATACACTCCTATATGTGATTGGTCGACAAATATTTGCTAAATATGAATTTATAACTAAATCTTTGACACAAATTCTTGAAAAAAAGAAAGATTGCAAAGTAAATCTTACATGTAGATTGACGCAACTAAAATTGACTTTGTATCTTTTGAAAGATACGGTCGATATTTATAACAGTATTTTCGGGTGGCCAATATTTGTAATACTCGTTTATACAACTCTTCATATACTCAACCACTTTGACAACATTTTTACCCTAACTCAGCATTGGAAAGTGGATAATACTAGAATAATCGTAACTGATGCTTTCGTTTTACTCAAAACTCTCGTAAGTATGCAACTGTTGTCCGAATTTGAAACAATATTGATCATTTTGAAGGTTGGAACGATGACTATGATAATGATGTGTGACTGGGTTTTAACAGAAGCGGACAAAATTCTGTCGTTATCATATAAAATTAGAAGAACCTATTTAGCCAAAGAAAAAGAACTCTCGGAATTCATCAGTGCAATTTTGGAAAATTTTCCGAAATTTTCTGCAGCTAGATTTCTTCAAATTAATGGAACAACGATGCTTACTATTTTGGGAAGTGTAACTTCATATTTTATTATAATGATCCAGTTCCACGACTGAAAAATGGACACAAATTTTGTGCCCACTGCAACTCATAAATTCGTAATATAGCGCAATGTGTCAACTAATTAGATAATCACCAAAAATATAAGTTTCTTCAAATTATACTTTTGATTACAACCAAGTTTTCTTTATATTTTTGTGAAATCTTTCCCTAGTTACTCTGTGATTAGATTCGGTCAGCTACCTTGCTTAAGTAAGTCGTTACGAAAGTCACGTTAAAAGATTTTAAACGACTTTAGAAAGTTACTTTTATTTTTATGTCTTTATTATCGGAATGGGACATTCGTAAAGCGAGAGTGGGTGTATTCTGTATTTGCAAATTCAAGAAACATCGCTAGAGGCGCACATTAGGGATTTGTTCGAACTGGCAGTGTCAACAAAGGGAAATCTCCTGGAAGATCTTCAGTATCTGAGGAAGTTGTTGATGATTTGAGACGATTCGAGCATATACCACAACATACGTCTGGTATTTGTCGTGAATCCTTGGGCATTTAGTAAAGTCCCCATAAAGTGATGGGCGGCACGTTTCCATGATCTACTTCGACCATAGAATCACTTATAGAAACCCGGTATTTACAGTGATATTACGAAATTATAAATTAATAAGAATTAGGCAATTAGCGATTAACGAACAAAGCATCTTTCATTCCTAAACTCCTACTTTCTCTAAATTCACCCCGTTCTTCTAAAATTTTCCTTTTCATTTTACGTTGCTCATTCTTAAGACATATTCTAACACGAAATCAGAAAACATTTTTTAAATTTTTAATTTAATATTATGACAAACTGGGAATTTAGAACTTACAATTTGGTGATCAAGGTAAACAGGAAAACACATTGGTCCGTCACATTACCCTGAACAACCTCATTCTAGAAGTTTAAATAAAATTGCCTTTAATGCCTTTCAGAAATGACATTTATTTGTACTCAGCTAACGAACACAAATTTGGTGCACTCTATGCTTAATAATAACATTAATATTCATAAATAAAAGACAACATTTAACTCTTTTTAGTGGGTAATAATTTGAATTTTCCAGAATTGTATTACTGTGCGCTACCGTGAAACTGGATCATAATAATCAAAAAGGTAATGACTGTAGCTAACATACTAAGAATAGTGGATCTGTTAATATTAAAAAACCGAGCTGCTGAAAACTTGGGCAAATTTTGTAGGACGGATTCACTGAATTCCTTTAATCGATTTTTTTCGGAGTCTGATAGACCGTAACAATTTCGTCGTAAGATGTAAGAGTTGTCAAGAATTTTTTCGGCTTCGTGTAAAATCAAATCACACTTTATTATCACTGTAGAAGTTCTGACCTAAAAATCAAATGTTTTTAGTACAACTTATTGCTAAGAGCTTCTGCTACTTACAAATAGCAGAAAAACCGAAAATCCCTCAGCTATTATATGGAAACCCATGCCGATTTCATGATTTACAGAAACTTGGTAAATGTAGTCGAAATTGTTAAGTATATACAGACTGGTGTACGAAATAAGAAGAGCAGTGGACCAGCCTGTAGCGTTATTAAAATTATCAGCCGTGTCTTTAAGGTAATACATAGTGCGTTCAGTTTTCGTCAGAGTGAGGAACATTCTTTTTGAACAATTGTTAGGTTTCATAACTTCTTGTTGAAGTATTGTGTTCAAGTATACGTAATGTGATTTTATTACATTCAGTATAAAACCTACAAAAGTGGTGTAACAATAAAGAATATAACTTTGGCAATATTGAACAAGATAGCTAGTTACATATTTCATAAAACCATGATAAGCTGCACTCCAATAGATATAAATAAGAACGATCATTACAAAATCGACAAAAAGAGTAATCAAGTGAATTTTTATATTTCTTTCTAATTTATTTTTATTTCCTAACGAAATCATTGTCTTCAGATTTTCCATTAGTTTCTGCCAATCATCTTTCCTCCACACAACTACAGCCAATGCTAATGTGCTTGTGCAAATTATAAGATTTGCGTCGGTTAATAAATTTACGGCAATTTTTGCGTAAATACAATAGCTGGGGTAATCTCGATTTTTAACTGATACTGTCGCTGCTACAGTTATGAAAACCACCAGCACATAAGTATAGAATTTTTGAAAACGTGTTGTGTTTTTAGAATAAGCTGGTGTAATTGTCAAAATACTACCGATTTTAAAGAAAAGTGTTAATGATTTCTCCATTATCAAATTATGTGTGGTAACGTAGGACACATATGTACTTAATCAGGTGGTCGGAGGTCAATTAAGATGAGAGCGTTTATAAATATTTTACACTAATTAATATTATTATTTGTTCCTTTAAGTAGTGAAGTATTTTCCATTCAATTAACTGCGTAAATGTATGATTATTAAACAGTTAAACTGATTGTTGTAATTCAGCGATTCTCAACCTGTGGGGCGCGCCCCCCTAGGGGGGCGCGATAACACCAGAGGGGGGGCGCGAGCCAATAAGAAAATATATTATTAAAAAAAATAAAATATATTATTGAAAAAAATAAAGAAATATATTTAAAAAAAAGTAAATAAAATTCATTCTAAATAATTAAATATAAATACAGAAATAATGGTTATTCTTAGTGACTCCCTTGAGCCTGTTTAGCCGCACAAAGGTTTTCGAAACGCGGTTTAATTTGAGAAATTGACACTCTAAGTTCTTTTTCTACATTCAGTCGAGATCTATATTTTGTCTTCATTGCAGCCATCGCAGAAAATCCAGTTTCACAAAGGTACGATGTTGAAAATGGTAGTAGTATACGTAGCGCTCTTGTTTTCAGCGCAGAGAACTCATTATCCAAGCTTGCCCAAAATTCAAAGAGTGGTTTGTTATTAAATTGTCTTTTGATTTCGCCGCTTGCCGTGAAGTCTATGAAGATTTCTTCTTCAGCAGTTGAGAGGCCATCAGGAGTGTTTTGAAATGGATCCCTAACCCAGTCGTAACCTGCTAGCAAGTTCTCATCAGCAAAAAAATACTTTTTAAAATTCTTTGCCAGCGTGGCTAGATGATTTTCAATGGTTACAAAAACAATTTTTATATGTTGTTCTTCAACCTTGTAAGTTTTAACACATTCATCCACGTTTGGAAACATTTCTAGGTTTTTTTGCTTTACATTTCTGTTCCACAATTCCAATTTTTTACAAAAAGCAGTAACTTTATCACTAGTATCTAACATATGTGTGTTTGCTCCTTGGAGTTGAAGATTCAAAATGTTTAATTTCTCGAAAATATCGACCAAGTAGCTCAATTTCATAACAAATAAATAATCTCGAAACTTCTCGGCTTCCGGTCGGTGTTCCTCTTCTAAATAAATGGCGATTTCTTCTCTTAATTCATAAACACGTTGCAAAAATCTTCCCCGTGATAACCATCTCGTCTCGCAATAAAATAATAACGATGAATGTACTGCACCCATGTCTTTGCAAAGTTCAGAAAATATTCTGGATTTTAAAGGTCTCATTTTTATATCATTTACTGTTGTTACAACCGTCGTTAGCACAATATTCAAACCAGGACTCATTTCCTTGGAAGCCAAAGCTTCTCTATGGATCATGCAATGCGTCCATACACATTGTGGAGATTTTTGTTTCACAAGTGTTTGCATACTTTGGAATCTTCCAGACATTGCACGAGCACCATCGGTGCATATTCCGACGCAGTTTTTCCATTCTATGTTTCCTTCGTTTACAAAATCATTTAAAATAGCAAATAATGCAAGTGCTGTTGCTTTGAGTTCTATTGGTTTGCAGAAAAGCAGTTCTTCTACTGCTGACGTACCAGCACAAAATCGAACATAGGCAATTAAATGAGCATCTTTATTGCTATCTGTTGCCTCATCAAGCTGAATTGAAAACAATTTATCATGCAATTTCTCAAAGAGTTGATGCTGTACATCGTTAGCTATATCGCTAATTCGACGTGCAACAGTGTCATTTGATAGAGGTATAGACTGTAATTGTTTGGTAAAATTATCTCCAAACATAGTTTCTACAATTTCAATTGCAGCTGGTAGAATAAGTTCTTCGCCAATGGTATGCGGCTTCTTACATCTGGCTATTCTATATGAAACTTTGTACGACGCAAGTAAAGCTTTTTCAAGTACAGACAACGATTTTTTAAAAAATGTTTTTTGCTTTTCAAATGATTTCAATTTTAATTCGAAAAATTGTGGAGGTTTGTTCACATATTCGCTATGAAGCGTTTCCAAATGGCGTTTAAGTTTATTAGGCTTCATGCTGTCTGCTGCCAAAATTTTTGAGCAAATGACACACAGAGGCCTTTCTTCTTCATTTACTTCCGTACTAGTAAATCCAAATTTTATGTATTCTTGAGAATATTTTCTCGATTTGCTTTTTGGAACCACCCTCGTCAATGCACTTGTTGATGCTTCACCATCGTGTAATACCTGTTTACGCCCACTTAAAAATTTTTCCATGATTCTGCATTAACGTCTCGATAAACATTGACCGGATCACTGAGTGTGACTTACCTTACGACGCTGTGTTTGGCTGGCACTAATTAGCAACGAACGAAACACTGCATTTATATGCGCTGGATGGTTCGGAGACGTTCCAGATCGTTCGAGAGAATTCGGAAATTTTTACAAAGCCGCAAATAATATACACGTGGCGGCGTACCAACAGAAAGTGAGACAGAAAGTGAGATAGAAAGCAATTGAGAATCAGTGATTGTCGTTTTATTAACCCGCAAATCGAGGGGGGGGGGCGCGATAAAAACTGTTATTGGCAAATGGGTCGCGAAGATGAAAAGGTTGAGAATCGCTGTTGTAATTTGCTAATGACAGCTTTCGGTCCTTTAATAGAAAAATACAATTTTTATATGAACACTGCAAATTAATAATAAGTTATAGTTTTAAATATTTTTTAAGAAATTTATCATAATGTAATTTATATCGATAAAATATTTTCATATTTCTTGAATGTCCACTGTTGTATGTGCCGTGGCACCGTAGGATATTGTTTTGATATCTTTGTGTTGTTACAGTCTTCTTAAAGAACTTGGATCCAATGATACGTCTGCGAAACACTGCACAGCATACACCGATTTTAACAGTATGGAGTGGTGTTTCACAAAAGACATGTGGATTTTCAGCACCCCAACATCTCATATTTTGTAAGTTAGCATAACCTACAAAGCAAAATCTCATAATTGTGATACAAATTGACACAAATTAAGTACCGGGGAGATGAAACCAAGCTTCATCAGAAAAGAATGTTAAATCCAACAAGTTATCATCATTGAGATGTTCAAGAGATCACCTGCAGTGCACTGCACAACTTTATTGGTACACACTGTTGGTCGTCCAGCACCTTTTTTAATATTGCCTGTTTCACGAAATACGCACACAGTGTCTACAACGTTGTAAAAATCAGCAACGATAAAATTAAAATCTGGACAATTTTGTTGGAATTCTTGTAAAACAGCAACACTGTTATAAATTATAAGGCCATCCTCCTTCAATGGCTACCCCATCTCGGAAGTAGGCCGTAATCATGAATGTTTTATGTTACACAGAGAAAACGTTTTTGCACATTTATTTTCAAAAAATTCGAAAGTTTGACGTTTCAAATACCAACGCGCCTGAATGTATCAAAGACAATCAAAATATGTCAATTTACTGTACACAGCCTCCACCGATCTAAATTCTTAATGAACGTCGTTTAGCACATACGAGTAGCTGTTTATTTAATTTGTACGTGTTTGTCTCATCAAAAGTCACAATGGAGCAAAATATTCTGAATATTATTATCATAATTCTTTTTTTATTATTATGGGTTTTCGAAACAATGGCGTGTCTCGCTCTTAATTTGATGAATAAAAAATCAGAAAACGATTAACTTTACTAAATTTATTTAAATGGCGATGATCAACCGAATTTTTGTTAGCATTTTACCATCTACAGGTTATTCTTAATATACAATCAAAATTTGACGACAATCGGTCCAGTAGCTTAGTAAATTATCTGTCTAACAGTGGCGGCTCGTGAAGTTTTCTTCAGAGGAGGCTCAAATTTGAAAACCAATACTTTTTATATCCTTCATTATCTTAATAATTTTTTTGTCATGCTCACGAAAAGAACACTATAGATAAACTATTGCATCGATTAGTCTTTTCAAAATTGCCCTATTTTCACCAACTTTCTCGTTATAGTTCTCAATATCCCTCTTATGAGCGGAATCTAAAGTAGTAGAAGAAAATATGTGTTCCTGTGATTTTTCATGCCTTTACACTGCACATGAGACTGACTTATTTTCGTTGCTCATTCTCGTTAAGTATAAGTAATATTAATATGCCGATAATACCAGCTGTTTTTAACGATCAGAAATAAAACGCAAATAAATGATATAAAAAACACCTTAGGCTTTACGTAGATACTAAAGCCTAAACACCATTCACCACTGAATAGGGAGCACGCGAAACCACCTCAATGTTTTTCCAATTTACACTCGATCGCGCGAGTTAATAAGAAAGAGATAAAATAATCCGTGCGACTTGATCTGAAAAGAGATGCACTAGCCGGAGGCTAGCGGCCTGAAGCGGCACCCCGATGAACATTTTAGCCAATGCAGTGCTGAATTACTATGCGTCAAGGTTGCGGTCTCAATAGTAAGATGCATTCTCGGCGGAGGCTAGCTTCTACGGCTGAAGCCAAATGCGGAGTGGTGTGAATTATGATTTAAGGGCGCAAATATAATTTTTTTCGATATTTTAACCTGATATATGATGAAAGTAAATTAAATCAAACAAAATATTCTGAATAGTAACAAATGTCTATAAAAATACAAATTCTTTCATCGAAAAAATTAGAGGAAGCTCAGCTCCAAAAAACAGAGGAGGCTCAGCCTCCCCTGCCTCCTCTGAGGAGCCGCCACTGCTGTCTAATAAAAATCTCGACAGACGGCAGACAGGCAGACAGACAGGCAAACAGACAGACCTGTTTCTTCGTACTCTAGAGGTCATAAAAGGTAGTAAAGTAAAAATAAAATAAATTAAAGATAATGTTATATATTCGAACAAACGTAGACAGCTGTATTTGGTACAATTTATATAATAAAATAAATACTACTTGTTGAGTGGGTAAATCAATACTTAATTTTTAGTTATTCAATAAAACTCAGTTGCTTGGCAATATTTAACAACAATAACAAATTAAAACGTTTAAACTATTAATGGCACTCATTGCTTTAATGCGATAAAATGTAAACAAATAATAATACAATATGTGTAAAGAAATTACTTTGAATACTCCATAAATTTTATGGCATTGCTTACGATTGGAACTACAAGTTATTCAAATTTATTGATAACCTTTATGAACATTCACTGGTTTGTCACATTACCCTGAACAACAGAAAACATCATCCTTGATGTGAGAATAAAATTCTCTTTTATGATTTTCAGAAATAAGATTTATTTGCATTCAGCGAGCGGAAACAAATTTTTTACAACAATAGCATTAATAATAATAAGTAAAAGACAATATTTAACTTTTTTCCAATATGTAACAATATATTCAATTTCTCAAAATTTTATTTTTGTGTGCTACCGTGAAACTGGATCATAATTATAAAGAAGGTAACGACTGTACCTAACATACTAAGAATAGTAGATCTGTTAATATTAAAAAACCGAGCTGCAGAAAACTTGGGCAAATTTTGAAGGACGGTTTCACTGAATTCCTTTAAACGATTTTTTTCAGCGTCCGATAGACTGTAACAATTCCGACGTAAGATGTAAGACTTGTCAAGAATGTTATCGGCTTCGTGCAAAATCAGATCACTCTTTATTATCATTGTAGAAGTTCTGATCTAAAAACCGAGTGTTGTTAGTACAATTTATTGTTAAAATCTTCTGTTACTTACAAATAGCAGAAAAACCGAAAATCCCTCAGCTATTATATGGAAACCCATGCCGCTTTCGTGATCTACAGAAACTTGGTAAATGTAGTCGAAATTGTTAAGTATATATAAACTAGTGTACGAAATAAGAAGGGCAGTGGACCAACCTGTAGCGTTATTAAAATTATCTGACGCGTCTTTAAGGTAGTACATAGTGTGTTCAATTTTCGTCAAAATGAGGAGCATTCTTTTTGAACAATTGTTGTGTATCATAACTTCTTTCTGAAGTATACTGTTCAAGTATACGTAATGTGCTTTTATCACATTTAGGATAAAACTTGCAAAAGTAGTGTAAGAATAAAGAATATAACATTGGCAATATTGAACAAGATATGTGGTTACATATTTCATAAAACCATGATAAGTTGCACTCCAATAGATATAAATAAGAACGCTCATCACAAAATCGACAAAAAGTCTAATCAAGTGAATTTTTATATTCATTTCTAATTTATTTTTATTTCCTAACGAAATCATTGTTTTCACATTTTTCATTAGTTTCTGCCAATCATCTTTCCTCCACACATGTACAGCCAATGTTAATGTGCATGTGCAAACTAGAAGGTTTGCGTCGGTTAATAAATTTACCGCAGTTTTTGCGTAAATCCATTTATTGGGGTAATCTCGATTTTTAACTGATATTGTCGCTGTAATAGTGATGAAAACCAGCAGCACATAAGCATAAAACTTCTGACAACGTGTTATGTTTCTAGAATAAGGTGGTGTAATTGTCAACATACTACCGATTTTAAAGAAAAGTGTTAATGATTTCTCCATAATCAAATAATGTGTGACAACGTACGGTATATATGTACTTAACCAGGTGGTCGGATATCAATTAAAATGAGAGCTTTTAAATTCACCAATTAATGTTATTATTTGTTGCTAGAAGTAGTGAAGTTCCCGTGCTTCCATTCAATTAACTCCATAAATGTATAATAATTACACACTTCATCTGATTGTTGCTACTTGTAAAGGACAACTTTCTGACCTTTAACAGGAAACTACTACTTTTATGGGAGCACTGCAGACAAATAATAAGTCATGTCTTTAATTATTCCAGTTAGGAAATTTATCATACGTAATTTACGTCTATAAAATATTATCATCATATTCTGTGAATGTTAATTATACATTTCATTGAAATACAGTTATTGCATTCTTAATTACTATAATAAAAATAATTTTGATGAAACTAATATCTAAACAGATACTAACACAGAAACAATATGTACAAATGTAAAGTGATTACTTGTTTTACAAAATTGTTTTAATGGTGTAGACGTAGTAGACATTTTTATTTTGTGCAACAACGACATTTGGCATAAATTACTTTGGTTTCGCATTCCTAATTTCATAGTTCTCATTTATCATTGCTCACTTCTCATTTCTTACAACTCATTTCTCACACACAAGTTCTAAATACGCACATCTGCCATTTTCATTTTTCATATCCTACTGCTCATTTCGCAGACTAAATGCTCATTTCGTTTTCCAATTCTTCATTTCGCACCCC